GCTCTTTGCTTCATTAATAATCAAGTCAAGCCTGAAAACGAAGACGTGATCAAACCAAATTAAACTTTCGCGTGCAAACGAAAATAACTTAAGGTCATGACCTTGAAAGATTTATTTTAATTAATTCGATCAAACTTGATCGATCATTATTGAAACTTAAAGCATTTATAGGTTAATATATAAATTAAATCTGTTAAAGAAACAGCCGTTTAGATATTTATATCATTAATTAATTAATTAAAATTTAAAATTGAATATGAATAATTATGTATGTAATTGAATATAAAACTTAAAAATTATTCTTAATTACGTAAAATCTAGAATTAATATAAGCTGTAACTTAATCAAACATAACAATTAAGCGTATTTATTATAGGGCTACATTTTGGCTAATTATGTAGACAAATGTTAGGTAATTTGGTTGAAGATAGGCGATTAAGTCGCCATCTTGTTTTTAATTTAATAATTTGAATTAAATTTATTAATTTAGAATATTCTAGAAGAAAATATCAATCCGGAACGGAAATCGAACTCGCAACTCCAGCTTATTTTATAATAACGTGTGGTTGCATAATATTTTAAATTATTTAATTTAATTCTTATTGTTAAATTTAATACAAGATGGCGACTTTATCGCCTATATTTAATCCAAATTACATAGTATTTGAGTATGTAATTAGCCAAAATGTAGCCCGTTAATACATCAGGCTCGATTGTTTGATTTAGTATTATAGTTCGGGTTCGGTTTCTTATGTACTGTAATTATAAGCTATGACATAAATAACACTTTAATTAATTTCTATCTTTAAAAATATAAAAATGTTATTTATTATTTCGTTTTTTTTCTAATTGAAAGGTTATTAATAACTTGCATTTAATAAGATGTTACAGTACATAATTACATCAGCATTATGTGTTGTACATGATGAGTATAGTGTAATGAGAAATTTTAATGGATGATGTCGATGAAATTATGAAATTAGTCATCAGATTCAGATTGAGTGGGGTCAGCAAAATCTTCAATCAGTTTTTTTGAACATACCACAACCCCAAAATTCGAACTTTTTATGTAAATAAATATGATAAATATTGAAAAATCAAGTTTTATTGAGTTTATTTATATTTTATTTTTATAGTTTTTGGGCGCAATAAGGATTTATAAACCGCTCTTGTCTCAGGCTTTACATATCCTTCATTATGCTACTTTACTTATTTGATTCTATAGAATATTGTAATTAAATGTGAAATTAATTAAGGAAATTTTAATTTTATTTATGTANTTTTTTGTAATTTAAACATTTTTTTTGTGTGAGTAACTGTAAATAAATATATTAATATATAAAATGAAGGTTTTTTTAAAAGTCTGTATATTCTGTATAAGTTTATAAGAATATAAGCCTTTAAGTAATGCAAGTTTAATGTCTACATTATGCTAAAAAAGCATATTTTAAAATCGTATATTATAGAATTTAGAGGCTAAGTGATGAGAAATAAGGGGCTCGAGCCAGTTACGAATATAAGCTTCAGCCATAAAGTACAGTACATAAATATATTTTAAAATTTATTTTATTGGTTTTATATTTTATACCATAAATTAGTTTACATTGCCGATCGGTAGATGAAAGTGCAATATAGTCCGAGTTATACCAATGATCTAGTGGATAAAACCACTTATCACTGTGGTAGTTGGTCGCGGGTTCACACCTCACCACCTGTAGGCCGCGCGGAGTTTTTCCCGGTTTTCTTCAGGTATCTAACATCTAAATACGAGCTAATTTCCTATAAAAGTCTTCCGAGAAGATATTACTACTTAACAGATGCGCACGTGTTACTTTGCCTTATCTCACCAATCCAGTAGAGTCTGGATTCGATTTTATTCGAAGCGAAACTTTCGGGTGACCTGTTTATGCTCTGAAAGAAAAATAACAATAATAAATAACTGTTTAAGCTCGCAATGATATCGACCGTGTTTAATTTTTTAATTGTTATTGACATTATCAAATAAAAATTTATTGATACAAGTTATTGCAAAAGTCTAATCCATCCTAAATCAGCAAAATTAAACCTGAATAATGCCTAATTTGGATATTAAATCACTAAACCGTGTCTCTGGTTTGCGCCTATTTAAATTAACGGACTGATCACGTGAAGTTTTCCGTATTTTCTTCACGTGCCTAATGACGGATATCATCCTAATTTCGGCGAAGGATCCGGGTTCGGATCTTAATGAATTATCAACTGGAAATTTGGATCCGGATTCATTCTATATTCTTCATTTATATTGACCTACAATATTACGGGTCTTACCTGCCCGTAATTTTAATTAGGCAATCACAGACATGTAAGAGATCCAGTACAATTCGTATCTAATATAAAGAGAGAAACCGTATTATAAATTATTTTATTTTAAAAAGAAGCTAATATTTTATATTTTCATTGTCTTTTTCCAAGAACAACCAGAATATAAGGCTAGATCCTAGTTCGCAAGCCACTCGCCATATTTGACCCTGATTGAAAACAGAACATTGGATTCTTGCCGAATACTATAACTAGTTAGACTACTAGAAAAAGTCTGTCCTTTACGGAATAATCGATAATTGATTGATTAATTGCTAAATTTCTCATGAAAAATACGCCTATATAGTTTTTTTTTTCCGATTGAATGTTAGTTGGTTTGACAGACCACTTGCACACTCGGATTTATCCTCTGTTAATATTATTATATATTTACTGTAAACCATTTACCACAAATCAAGTAGTTCTGATAGAGGGTTACCACATACCACATACAAACCACTTTATAATATAATATTAACCACTTAAATACATCGTTTATGTAAGTGGTATTATTATACTGTACTGTACAATAGCAGAATACTAATTTAATCTGTTATCTGAATCAAGTCCTATCTATCCGAGGTCTAGCAGAACTATTTGGTCCGGGCCTCACATTTACATGGGCCTTAAAAACATTTGATACAATCTCACATTGTGAAAAAAAATCTTTATTTTCTGTCAAATTTTATTGTTTAAAAAAATAAAANTTCCCGTAAGCCTAAAAGTTTGACAATGGTGTTTGGATAGTCGGTGGAATCACGCTCGACATTTCAAACACCATCGTCAAACTTTTAGGCTTACGGGAAAGCTGCGCCGAACGTCACACGTACACGTTTACACGTTTAAAACGTGCGCCTCAACCTCTCTATTCTGGAAATGTGGGCCCTACGAAACTGCATCTGTATAAATCAGAGTTATATAGACAGTATCTTATATATTGCTATAAGCTTTATTACTTGATTAATTATAATTAACTAAAGAGTGCCATTTAATTCAAAAAATAATGAACTTATAAAATCATTAAAAGAGATAAAATCGCAACTCGTACGAGAAATTCCATGCTGAAAATTGATAAAAGTTCAAGTTAAAATTTATTTATCTTCAACTTTTAACAAATAATTATCAAAGCGATAAAACAAAAATTAAATTAAATTAAAATATCCGTTTACCATTAATCATTTTCGGGAAAACTAGAAAAAAAATTCTCTTCAACTCCAGTAATTTTAGCGGGGGACTTTCCCGTTTATTTATATAATGCAATATTTCTTCGCTTTCTGAGTATTTTCTATTGTTTTGCATATAAAACTGTAAGAAGTTAACCTTGCTCTTGGCGTTATTCGATAATTTGCCTTTATAACTATAAATAAAAAAATAATAATAAAATTATTACACTTATTTTAATTCATAAATTACCGTCATAATAAACTTGTTTAGTATTTTATAACCGCATTATTAATTTTTTTATTGTATATTCTGTCAATGTGCTACTTTAATATACTTATATAAAGTCATAAATAAAAGTTAATTTGTATTTAACTTTAATTAATTTAATTTCTATGTTTTTATATTATGCCCGGGAGTAAAGTAATAAGGTTATTTTAGGCCAAACTCAAATTAACAAATCCAGGAAAAAAAGGTCCTAAACTCTGAAATCGCCAATGTTTAGGGCCTTCGTTAATTATATAATAATGTATTAAATTATCGTAAACTGGATGAAATCAGATGTCCAGGTCACCTTGTAGCTTAACCAGTGAGGAGCCCAGGAGGCCCTTGCCTTTGTAAATAAATAAATTAAATACAAGAAAACAATTTGAATGTGATAAACGCACTTATGCATATTCATATACAATATCTAAAAGTTTTTTCTTCATCCACAGCGCTAGTGGCTAAATTCACAATGGTACAGGGGTGAATGTAGGTTTGCTCGTTTTAACCATGGCCCCTATTACCGGTTATAGTTAAGCTACTGGGGTAGCTTATAGCCTAATTTTTGCAGGGCATAGAGAGAACTATAAAACATTTGATTTAGAAGTGTATAGAGAATAGGCCTTCTATACCAAGCTATATAATAGTCCGTTTAGTTCTATACTTTCAAATTTAAGTAGTCTGTTATTCAGAGTTTTACCTCTAAACAACGGACACTGACGTAAACATTAAAAAAATAGCCGTAGCTTGGAGATAATTTTGGAGGCATTTCAAAAAAGCCTGAAAGAGTGGTCGTTGTTGAGAGGTGGCCTTTATTAATAAATAATCGAAATAACCTTATAGAATTTCTTTAATGAAATTCTCAGCAAATTTCTCGTGAAATTTTTCACTTTTTAAAATAATTTCTCTGCTGTAAAAGAAAATAAGAACGTCGTTTTCCTACAGGCAAAGTGTTCAAGGTTGTGGCAGAGATTGTTTACAATGCTCTCTTGAATAAATAAATAGGAAGACGACAAAAGAAATCTCAATTTTCGTCTTCGTATTATTTACATAAATTGAAATCTTTGGTTATTTTTTCTTTTTAATTTCATAGATCTAAGCATTATTCTCCGAAATGCTTAGTGACAGATGTCAAAATCGAAACACGTGTCGACACTTTGAAACTCAAGTCATGCTTGAAGATAAAAAAAAAAATGAACATGTGACACCTTACACATCATTCAAAGAAACCGGACTTTTCCATTCTACCGGGAATAATTTGTTGTTTGTCCTTGAATTTTATCAAACGAAATCAATTAGATCGATGTATATATAAAGGCGAGTGAAAGGTATCGAGTAATTGTCACTCATTCGTCTTGTGTTATAGCTGTGGTGTGAGGTAAGCACTTATAATAGGTCTTTACTCAGTTAACACTTCAAAACTATGGCCTTTTAGGTTTATAATACTTCTGTTCGCTAATTATTAATTTTCTCTTATGTTTCTAGATAAAATTTATAATGAAAAGCACCCTGTTGATCGCTTTCTTGTGCTGTGTTATATTATGCTCGGCAATTTTGCCAACGGCTGAGGCTCAAGGTGGCCGAAGAGGTGGATTTGGAGGTGGATTTGGAGGTGGAAGAGGAATCGGAGGTGGAAGAGGATTCGGAGGTGGAAGAGGTGGAAGAGGAGGATTCGGTGGAAGAGGAGGATTCGGCGGACGAGGAGGATTCGGTAGAGGTTAAACGTAAGTTTTTATGTAAATTCATGCCAAAATAATTTTGATTCTTAATTTCATAGCATTTAATTTAGATTCTTTAATTAAATTTATATATGAATTAACTTCTTTAAGACGAATTTACAAAGAACAAATTGTGATTATGTACATTTATTACATTTACTATTTTAAATAAATGCAAGAAATTTTATTATTAATAATAAACCTTTATATTCTTTTACAGATAACGATCTTTACAGCAATAAAGAAGACATTTTGTTTCATATTAAAACATGTTAACTTTTATTTTAACGTTTTCAATAGATTTCTAAATAAAAATTTATTACCAAAATGTATTTTGTTTATTGTTTTTCTCAGTTCTAAATATCAAAAACCACGTAATCAATATCAATTGTAATTGTAATATTAATAAACGTTGAAATTATATATAGGCTCATATAGACAGGACCGATTTACAGCTTAAGACCTCGTACCACTTGATACAGGGCCTCCATTTTTACATTTATTATTAATTAGTGGAGGAAAAGGCCTCCTTGTATATAAGGACCACAACAAATTTCAATCCTACTCTAGTTTTTTCTAAAGAAACGAGACAAAAACATTTAATAATTTCTCCAAATTTTCAATAAGAATTACATAAAATATGGGCTTTAAAGCTATATAAGATCGAAAAAAAAACTGGATTTTTTTAAATAATTAATTAATTTATTTACACTATAAATAAATAATTATCAACACCATTCTTGTTAAGTCTATTACATTTATAACATTTAAGAGCCAAAAACTCTATTTATTATCTAATTTATTAGATGGAAAAATACAATTAATGGCTTAGAACGAAGCAGATTCTAATTACAATTAAAAAAATAAATAAGTAAATAAAATCAAATGAATTGGATTCATTAAGGAAAAATGTTTGTATTCGTTTTCATTATCAAGGAACTCTTAAATCAAACAACTCAGTAAGAATACTTAATCAACACGAAAACAGTGTTGCAGGTTGATGACCCAGTGATAAGCTTGTGCACATTTTCAGGTTAACAAAACTGATGATTCTCATTTATGCGTATCGCAGGATGATGAAATTCTAATTATTTATTAATATNCGATTTATAAACCGCTCTTGTCTCAGGCTTTACATATCCTTCATTATGCTACTTTACTTATTTGATTCTATAGAATATTGTAATTAAATGTGAAATTAATTAAGGAAATTTTAATTTTATTTATGTATTTATATTTTAAGCCTGTATCAATTAATTAATGAAGAGCATTTTCACACGCTATGCCACGACTTAATGATTAGAATTTGAGGCTTTATCATTAGCATCGACCTTGCTTGACCGTGTTTTAACAAAGATTTGCAGTTCGATTGCAAATCTTTGTTAAAACACACACACAGGATATACAATGTAATGCATAATGCATAAAAATTATTATTGTTTATTGATCGATAATTTATCCTAATTCTTTAGAGGTATTTCGCATGGTTATAAAGAAATTTCTCGTTTAACCTTGGATTTAGACTGATGGAATAACTGAACGCAACACGTGAGCCATCTGCCGAAGGAAATGCCTTCTGGGAAGACTTTTTATTAGAGACTGGCCCCTGTTTAGGTGCTAGACACGTGAAGGAAGGCCAGAAAACTTCACGTAAACAGACATACTCCACGTGCGTTGGTGATGCGCGAACCCATAACCAACTATGAGTTCAGTGTTTTAATCCACTCGGCCATTGGTGAGCCTCATTTAATCTTGATTAAATGTATTAACTTAATGTTCTATTTAATAAATAATATTGTGTTAATAAATGTAAGAAAAGTTATAAACATTAGCAACATATTTTAAAAATAACTGATATTGGAAATTGAAGTTTCTTTGAAAATTAATGAGAAATTCTACGAATATCCTTTAAATAATAATTCCATATAATGCTTCGTTTCTGTAGTATCGATGTTTCGTTTAATTCTTCATGCGTAATTGTCTTTCACACAAACGGTTTAGATTTGGTTTACAGATATTAAACAATTAATCTGCAACTTTTATTAGATCATTCATGAGTTTCTTTAAATAACATACATTATTCATTAGAGAAATTCATATAAATAAATTTAAAGGTGACAACATGGCATAATGAAATGATCGTCAAGAGAGAAAGCTAGGAATTTTGGTCCGAAGAAAATTTAGGGGCACATAGTAATTTCTACCTCTATGGAGGTAGAAAATAATTCTCTTATCTAAAGTAATTCTGTTTTGCTTAAAGAGCATAGAGTTACTTCGGATATCTTCTTTAGAAATGATATACCTTAAAATAAAAATTTCTACTAATTATTTCTGTAACTTTTTCGTGTGTGTTCTTAACACAAATTCATTTTTTCAGCTAATAATAATTTATAGCAGAAAAATACACTTTTTGTTTTATAAATGATAAAGATACTAATGTAAACTTTGTTTCCGAACGTATGCAGAGTCGTAATAATGCTTCCTGGTATAAGTTTACCTTCTCCATTGAAGGATATGTTGTATACAACATAAGCAATAATGGAGAAATTTGATGTATTCATACTCCCCTCAACAAAAGAGATTACAATACCATATTACAAAATAAACATCTTTAGTTAATCCATGTTTTTCTTTTTTACTGGTTCAGACCTTTACAGAACAATCAATAGAATTAAAACCAGACACAGTAGGGTAACTAGAGAAGCCAGGTGAATTGGATTGATGGCGTAAGGCAATAAATGAGCGATCTGCATTTAAACACATGCACAGTACAATATATATACGAGTATAATATCTAAGAGTCTTCATCCATAGCTTCTACAACCACAGTGGTACTGGGGTAAATGCAGTTCGCACGTTCTAATTCAGGCCCTCAATAGTTACGCTACTGCACAGAAAACTCAAAATGTTTCCAAAAAATAAGATATAGAAGTGTTATAAATAAGATTTTCTGTTGATAAATTGTAATTTTATAGTTTTCGAAGAGGGATGAAAATCCATATACGTGACTGTTGAGGCTCCGTATTAGACAATGTAAATGTTTATTAGATATAAACTCTTTTTTTATTCAGTAATAAACATTTACATTGTCCAATACGGGGCCTCAACAGTCACGTATATGGATTTTCATCCCTCTTCGGAAATCTATCGTTCCGTCTACATATCACATGTTTACTTGATATAGCAGCAAACACATTCAAATGTCTGATTATTAAGTACTGTACTGTTAAAACGTACTGGACATTTCATAGATAAAATTGTCTGAAAAATTATCTAACTTTTTAATTATATTTATCGAAGAATTTTGACAGAGAAATATGTATATTTAGAATTGTAAACAGTGATAATGAAATATTTATGAGAAATAAAAATAAACATCACGTAAAGGTGCTGCCATCTGTTATTTAATAACTACTCTAATGTGTATAAAAACAGGATCATTTGCTTGAATTTTGCATCATTTCTTTTTATATGAATCAATTTTTTAATATTTTTATAAACTTCTATGAAATATTTCCTATGATTTTTTATAGTGAAAGGACATTTAAGATATACAAAATAAAATAATTAAATTACAGATTATTTTTTATTTAAATGTTTTCCTTAAAAAATAGATTGTATATATATTTTTTCAATGCATTAAGGATAAAATTAATTTATCCTTAATGCTCTTTTGATTTCTGCTCTTTGATATTTTATAAAATTTCCTTACAATGAAATTCGTTTATTTCCTTAAAGTGAATTTTACTGAGTTTTTAGAAATCTTTCCAACGATGGCAGGAAATGCAACTCGGATGCCTTTCGCCGTGTATTTCATAATACAGTCAAACTTTCGAACAACGGCATTTCTGGAAGTTATTTTGAATGCATTACGAAAAGGAACATTCCTGAAAAAATGGCCGCCTCTTAGAGATGTACTGTACAGCTCTTATACGTAAGCGTGTAAGCTATGGAGAGCCTTACTGGATCACTGGAGAGCCCAGTGTTTAGGCTGGGACAACTGGAGGGTCCAGAGTTTAAGCTGGTGCCTTTATCTCCTAGGGGCGATTAAGGCACCATTGTAAACTTTAAGGACCCGGGTTCGAGTCCAAATTGTTTCATAAATTTCCGTAGATACTGCAACGTAAATATATAAAGCATTCTCCTTTCTCATAGTCATCTCCGGAGGAGATAAAAGAGGTACACATACTCCTAACTAAAAATTTAAAATAAAATCAAATAAAAATACTTTTTCTTAAAGTTCTAGAAAATTATTAAATTTCAAATTAAAATATTATCATTGCCACAGGGCATGAAAGAGGTAAGACAAGACCTGGGCAGTGGCGCGTTATAGCCTCGGGGGGCCCAGACGAATTTGAATTAGAGGTTTCTGTGTACACTGTTGACTCCGGACACTTTTCTTCGAGAAAATATTTTCTTATAAAAGATTGGTTTGGACCTCCTTGTTGGTGGGGGCCCTTTCCGCTCATAAGACCTGGGTCAGTCATAAAAAAGAGTATAACCCTCCAAAAACCATAAAAATATAAATTTAAAATAAAAAAGACAAATTTCCATTCATGTATGAAATAAACTTTAATTTTTATCATGGTTTTTTATTAAAAAATCAGAATTTTGGAGTTTCTCTATCTGGGGCAGTATTATATAACTCTGTTGATATCCGTCTAAATGGGACTGATCATAGATATATACAGTCAATTCTCGATACAGAGCCAATTTATACTCACGAATGGAATCTTCTTATTAAATATTAAATAAAAAATGATTTAAGCTTTTTTAAATTCAATTTAAAAAAGAATAAAACAATTAAATCTTTGGTATTGTTTAATCGATGATAACCCTGCGATAAGATAAGAGGTAATGAAACCAAAACTAATTACAGTATCAATTTCTATACTTCAGGAGTTAAAAATAAGCTAAAATTAATTATAAATTATTTATTTATTCAGGTAATTATTAAATAATTTTAAAGAAACGGTTTATTTACGTTCATTTCTTAACAATTTTCCCGTAAAATACAGAAAAAAAACAGTGTCATTCAAATGCTAAAAAAAAAGGTAGCCTACAGTCTAATATGTAAGCTTAAAATTGATAAAGTCATTTTTTGATAACGTTAAAATTATTATCAAACAATAACAATGTGTCATAACACACGCTGATGTATCATTAAAAATAATTATATCCTATGACCTTTTTAATATCCATTACATTTTTTTAATGAGAAGAAAATTAAGTAATTCACTATTTTTTTTAATAACTTCACTTAATAAATTTATATATTAAAATTTCACTACAATTACTAAGTAATTAAAGAATTAATTGCAAAATTTATACATTCAAACCTCTGAACGACGGACACCGACGGGAACGTAAAAAATTCTCCATTGTTTGAAGGTATGCATTTGAAAAAAAACGTTCCTGAAAAAATGGCCGCCACGTTACGCCTGACCGTTATTGCAGGTTCGAATATAATTCATATTAATTACTGTATAAAGTAATTAAAGTACCTAAAACTCATTTAGAACCTCCAACAACGGCCACTGAACAGCGGCCGTTTTTTAAATTAAAAATGTATAGGAAATAATCTCCGAAGAGCGACCATTCTTTTGTGTTTCCGTCAGCGGCCGTTGTTTGCTGGTTTAAGGTTTAGTTATAATTAAAAACCGTGGGAAATATTTTTTATACTTTTTAAAATAATTTTTGTTTTTCTGTTTAAGAATTTTCCCTTTAGTTTATTTACAATGAAAAGATTTTATTTTTGGTCTTCTAACCAATTATAAATTACCAAACATCTTTTAAAATCCCGTTTTCATTGAAAATTAAATTTAAAAAAAATCAATTTAAACCTAATTAAAAAACATTATAAATAAATTGAAACATTTCTTTCGAAATTTTATGAGTCATAGATAATTAAACCATTACTTAAAAATATACAGTCAAACCTTTATTCTATATGCACTTTTTTTTTTTTTTTTTAATGTTCTTAGTAAATGGCCGCTGTTTAGAGGTGTCCGTTATTGGAGGTTCGACTGTATAATTAATATTGTATCATTAATTAATTAATTTTATTTAGAAATTTAATCTTTCAATTGTTTTATTAACAAAATTAGACCAATTGATATACGGGTGGTCTATAAGTCAGTTAACCATGTTTTGTGTTCTAGGTACACTTGCGAATATGAATCGCAAGTTGAGTGGATTAAGTAAGTAAAAACACGATTAAAAAAGTAAATTAATTCAGTCGTTATAACGGTTAACTGACTTTTAGGCCACCCTTTATAAAGTTTGGGTTCTTTTCGTGATCTTTTACATTTTAAATTATTTTAAATTATTTATAAATTTTTACAATATTTATGTGCAAGATCCATTCATAAGAATTCAATACGAAGACTGTTTACGAAACTGGAAGTATTTAGGAAAGCGTTATATTGAAGTTGTCAATATATACACAGACACACATACGGTCAAACCTCGATATAACGACAGCTGTAAGATGTCAGCCTATTTCTGTGAAGGACTCGAATTCGAATCCGGACGGATCGAAAATCCCGAGAAAATTTTTTGGGGTGTTCCTTTCCGGATGGGTCCAATCCCTCATCATTGGGCCGCCCCATTTTTGGCCTGACCCAATTTATAATGGGCTTGATAAAAAGGACCTATAAGGAGGAAAGAGTAAAAAATATCTCGATATAACGTACTGTACATTATATAATATATATAATTACATTAAGGTTAATTAATTTTAAAACAAGCCCTAATAAGTAAGGGGGAAATATATTACTTGTAATAAGAACAATTTTAAATTATAATTATATAAATTAAAATTATTATTTATATTATTATAATTTAGAAATTGATTTAAATATTGCCTTAATTTATATTAATTAAATTTTATAACGTGAAAATACACAATTAAGTACGTAACAATTATATAATAAACACTAATGAGGGACATTTATTTTTAATTTATGCTAATTCGAATTGTTTAAGAGAATAATAGAACACTTTATTTGTAGTATCATTCTATGAACATAAATTAATCATTCATTGATATCATGAATATTTATTATCAGTAAACAAATTATCCAAGCGTAACTTTATTATACGAGAGACCACAAGTTCACATAAAGAAAAAATATATATATTTAACTTTATGAGAACAAAATTGATGTCTTTGATAGCCTAGAAGTTGAGAATTTTCTACCTTTCAAGTTTTAGTGTTGGCCCTACAAGTCACGTGTCTACGTAGATCCGAATTATTAGAGAGATTGAGGCGCACGTTTTAAACGTGTAAACGTGTACGTGTGACGTTCGGCGCCGCTTTCCCGTAAGCCTAAAAGTTTGACAATGGTGTTTGGATAGTCGGTGGAATCACGCTCGACATTTCAAACACCATCGTCAAACTTTTAGGCTTACGGGAAAGCGGCGCCGAACGTCACACGTACACGTTTACAC